GGTCTGCAAGCAGCTGCCCATCAGGAGCTCAGCAGCTGGGAGCTGAGCCCGGAGCCCTTGGAGAAGCTCAGAGTGGCTGTTCCAGCCCCATAGCTGCTCTCTGAACACCAGTGATAGGTGCATCCCTCCCCACCGGCCACCTGTGCCCTGCTGGAGAATATTACTTTAAGGTGTATTACTTTTGCTTATGTTGCATTTGTTTAACTTTGTGAAGCTGTGTTACTGTGCCTGTCTAAAACATCTGGTGGTCTAATGAAGAGCTGAGCGGCCAATAGTGAGGCAGGAGAGAGAAATAGGCAGGGCTGGCTGGCAGGCAGAGAATATATAGAAGGAGAAATCTGGGTAAGAGAGGATCTAGGAGCCAGAGAAGGAGGAGGACTCCAGGGGCCAGCCACCCAGCTACACAGCCAGCCATGGAGTAAGAGTAAGATTTACAGAAGTAAGAGAATGGGAAAAGCCCAGAGACAAAAAGTAGACGGGATAATTTAAGATAAGGAAAGCCGGCTAGAAACTAAGCCAAGCTAAGGCTGGGCATTCATAAGTAAGAATAAGCCTCCGTGTGTGATTTATTTGGGAGCTGGATGGTGCCCCCCCCAAAAGAGTAAAAACCAAACAATGGTGTCCTGAAACTCCAACTGCCTAGGAGATGCCCCCCCCCAGGTGTAAAGACTTGCACAAGGACCCAGGACTACATGCAGCCCGGCGTGCTGGTGGCTGTCCTTGCTCTGAGGAAAAGAGAGGCAAGCCCTGTGTCCTGTAGTTTCCTTTCTTACCACAAACGGACATTTTGCTGACAGGATTTCTGAGACCACAAAGCAAGAATTGATAGGGGTCACGAAGCATCGGGGGTGGTGGAATGCCTGGTTCCTATTTGATTGTGTGTGTGTGTGTGTGTGTGTGTGTGTGTGGTATATGCATGTCTGTACATGTGTGTGTCTGTACATGCGTGTGCACATATGTGGAGGCCAGAGGTTGATCTTGGGTGACTTCCTCTATTACTCTCCACCTTATTTGGGGGGACAGGGTCTCTCACGGAACCTGGAAATTACCAATTCAGCCAGGTTGGCTGGCCAGCAAGCTCTAGGGATCCTCCTACTTCTACCTCCCCAGTGTTGGGGTTATAGACACATGTTACTACCACCCAAATTTTGACATGAGTTTGGGGATCCATGCTCAGGTCTTCATGCAGGCACTTTACTGCAGCCATCTTCTCAGCTTGATTTAAAAAAAAAAAAGACTTTAAGCTGGGCCGTGGTGGCACACACCTTTAATGCCAGCACTCGGGAGGCAGAGGCAGGTGGATCTCTAGTTCAAGGCCAGCCTGGTCTACAGAGTGAGTTCCAGGACAGTCAGGGCTACACAGAGAAACTGCCTTAAGGAAAAAAAAGGGGGGAGGGGGGACATGTGGGCACAGATGTGGAAGACCACTGGGCAAAGATGGATAAAGATCAGGGAATGTGTCTGCCAACCAAGGATAGCCAGACTGCCAGCGGCACTGGAGGAAGGGCTGAAAAAGACTGCATGGACCGAACGGAACTGCCCTGATGGTTGCTTGGCTGTAGCCATGTAGCCTCCCAAACAGAGACTGGGCAGCCACCTTGACCTTGACGTTCTTGCCGTTTCTCAAAAAGCCAGCGACCCTAGTTATGTGGGGCAGGGGCAGTGGGCCTGTAGCTGCTGCCCTACGTGGCCTGTCCTCTTCCCTCTCCTCACCCTGTACTGAGTCACTTGCCTGGACCTTCTGGGACCTTCTGCCACAGGGATGGGCATCCCCGGGCCAAGAGAGAGGAAGGCAAAAGAGGCGGGGCCACCCTGGGGACGGGGCTATAGCCCAAGCCTGGCGATGCTCGCCCCTGGCCAGAGGAAACTGGTCAGCTTGGGAGTTTCACCCAGGTGCCTGTCAGCTTGATCGGCCTTGCCCTGTCCCAGGACCCGTCCTCTGCCTCTGCTTTTCCCTTCTCTCTTTCCAGATCTGTAGGATCATAGACACGCCTATTCACTCCAGATGGGTGCCTGCGGAGGGCCCAGCCTCTGCTGGAGACCTAATTGTGATACCTCCGTCCTCCAGGGGGCAGCATGCAACATGCTAGCCAAGGGGCTGGAACCGCACCCTGAGTCCAGGGCCTGTGGGGGACCCCCAGAGCCCAAAGCTACAGGGTCCTGGGGGAGGGGTGCTGAATGGGTCTTACTGTCCAATGCCGGGGTCCTGTGTGCCTGGGAACAGGACCCCACCCCCAGCACACCCCTGCTTCCCTCAAGGGTGGCCTTGCCAGGGCACAGCCATCATGACAAATAGGATCTGATATATTCTTTTAAAAAATCTTTTTTAGTTAGTATACAGAGTGATGGGTTTCTTTTGTTTTAAAACTTGGTCTCATGTAGCCCAGGTTGGCCTAAAATGCATTTGGCTTTGTTTGTTTGTTTTGAGACACGGTCTCCTCTGTCTCAGACAGGCCTTTAATTCTCTGGGTACCCAAGGGTGACCTTTAACTCCTGCCTTTCCTGCCTCCCCCTCTGCAGTGCTGGGGTTACAGGTGCGTGCCACCACACCTGGTTTATGTGACAGTGGGGATTGTACCCAGGACTTCATGCAAGCTAAGTCAGCCCCAGACCAGCTGAGCTACAGCCCAGCCCCAATGGCTTTGGGATTCCCATACATGCCTAACCTTGTACTTCTCATATTCACCCATCAGCTTCTTTGCGCCCCACCCCCACCCCTCTCCTGGAGAACCAATTTATTTATTTAATAATTTATTTATTTTTATTTTATGTGCATTGGTGTTTTGCCTGCATGTGTGTCTGTCTGAGGGTCCCCTGGAACTGGAGTTACAGAGAGTTGTGAGCTGCCGTGTGGGTGCTGGGAATTGAACCCGGGTCCTCTGGAAGAGCAGTCAGTGCTCTTAACCGCTGAGCCATCTCTCCAGCCCCGAGAACCAATTTATTTTAATGTATCTGCCCCAACCCATGCAGAGTGTGTGTGGGGAACCAGCGGATTTCCCAGGTGACCTTCACCGCGGTTTCTCAGGTGGGTCGGAGCCTGAGGGCTCTTCCGAGATCTCGCTGTGTGCTCTCAGAAAGAAGCTGGGACTGGGGCGAGGGAAGCAGGGTGGGGCGTCCACTCTCGCTCCTGGCAGGCACCTCCCCCACAGGGTCAAGTGCAGGGGATGAAGGGTACAAGGCTGGGATGTGGGAGCGAGGGCTACTCGGGGCTTCCAGGGCAGCCCCTGTTTGAAGCCCTGGCTCCCCGAAGCAGCTCCGGCGGCCACTGCCACATCAGCCAGCGCAGCCCCGCCCCACCCCCACAGACGCATTCTGTTGTTCTCACAACGGAAACAGAAAAATCAAATGGAAAGATGATCCGCAGCAAGGAGTGTTTCCAAGGAGTCCTGCTCAGGGGAGCCTTAAAGGAGACAGCGAACGCGTTCCTGAGAACCAGGCACAGGCTGCCAGGGCATGATTCCCCCGCATCCCAGGGGCCAGGCCCGAGGACCTCTGATGCCAGACAGGAGTGGGAAGCACCCCCGCCTGGGATCAAGCTGGCTTGGGCACCATGTCCAGGAGAGGGAAGCCCTTTGGAGTCTCTGGGAGGATAACAGAAGGAACCTGGGGGTGGGGATAGGGGGCATGAATGCTAGGGTTCACTTAGTGCACAGGAGAGAATTTTAGAATTATTCTTTCAGGTTTAGAATGCAGCCTAGTTCAGAAGAGCGCTTGCTTAGCATGCAGGAAGCTCAAGACATCGCCCCAGCACTGCATAAACCCGGCATGGGGGGGTGGGATGGGGGAAGATCCTTGTAATTCCAGTACTGGAGAGATAGGAGGATCAGGAGTTCAAGGTCATCCTCAGATACATAGCAAGTTTGACCAGTCTGGGCTACATGAGACCCTGTCTCAAAAATCAACAATAAAAAGTATTCTTGCTTAGATGCCAGATGAGACATGTGGAGAGGATGCCTCATAGGGAGCAGCCACACGATTGACAGGTAGACAAAGGCAATGAGGGCTGAGTATGTACCCCTAAAATGTCCTTCCCGCCCCAGTCCAGTAGTGGGAGGGGACCTCTTGTAGCCCTCAGAGAAACAAGAAATGAAGGGTCTCAGGGGCTTGGGTACACCCCTGTCTGGGACAGGCTCCTGACAAGATGCCAGGCGATCCTTTCCTCCTCCTGGACCCGGCAGTAACTGCCTCTGAGCAGCAGGTTTTAAGGTCTCTTGCAAACTGGCTCAGCCTCAAGGAAAAGTTGAAGAACCAAAGGCGTTGTCCTCCAGGTGACCCTCTCAAGTGTGGCAATGCCACCATTGGCCAGCAGGGGGAGACAAAACACAGCGTTTCCTTTCTCCAGGTGCCCCCACCGCAGGAGGAGAGGACAGTTTTCCAAATGTGGCTTCTTCTGTGCCTGATATATATATTTTGGTGGTGGGGGGGGGGGGGGGCGGAAGGGGTTGGAGAGAGTTGAGACAGTCTCTCTCTCTCTCTCTCTCTCTCTCTCTCTCTCTCTCTCTCTCTCTCTCTCTCTCTCTCTCTAGCCCTAGCCTGCCACTGTATCCCAGGTTTCCTGTGCCTCCCACAGCCTCAGCTTCAGCCCTACAGCTGCCCAGGGTGGGGCATGAGGTTTCTCTTCCCACACTAGTCCTGGCCTCCAGGGGGTGATCGTGTGCCTGGCTGTTCCCCCTCCACTCTTATCTCTGCTGCTTGCTCCACACTGCCCTCCTGGCTAGACTGGGCCCCTGCTCCTTTGTCCTTTGGACTGGGGTGGGGACAGGCTTCTCTCTCTGGTACAAAAGAGGGTGGTATAGGGCCCAGGGAGGGAGAGGTAGGGTAAACCCAACCTGGCCAGGTCACCAGCCAGAGGCCTGGTGAGGGAAGCATGTTCTAAAAGGGTCCAGTGAAAGCTGGAGGCTGCTTCAGTGCAAACGCTTAGGCCTGGTTCCTCAGACCCAGACGGTAGAGGGAACTTCAGCGAGACGTTCCACCCAGAAAGG